GGCAAGGCCCTGGTTCAGTCCAACCCCATCCCAGGCCACCCACACCAAAAGAGAGAAAGGAGACAACACTGTCTGTTGGCCTAAATCGAGTAGAGATATTTCCTGTCTCTCTCTAACAAATTTCAAGTAGGGAATTGTGTTTTAAACTCTTAAAGAAAAAGGGGCCTTTTCAAAGACTCATGCTCCTTTCTTTGTTTGACCTTACTGGGGGATTTTGCATTGTAGTTAATCCTTTTCATCTCAGAGGACCTTGAGATGAGCTAAAAGAATTTCTTTGAAAAAGTCAATTAACACATTACTTATTGATCTTATTTTATGAGCGTCTAGTACCCCCCTCAAGAAAATCCCCCTGTAGTTGTTATGATTCTTCATAACTACCACTTAAGTGAGGTCTTTGGAGTCTGGTTACACGGGTGGACAGAAGAGAAGGCTACGGTAGAGAACTGTTGCGGGGTAGTCCTTCTGAACAACCTTCAGATGGAGACAACTAGAAAGGCTTCGGGAAAGGCATTTATCCGGACTGAGGGTTTTGTTCCTAGGGAAAAAGACCTACTTAGCTCCCTAGGGAGAGTGGCTGAAAGGACGACTAGAAGAGCTGAGAGTGTAGCTCGGTGGGTAGGGCATTTACCTAGCATGAGTGAGGCCCTGGTTTTGACTCCAGCACAGGAAAAGAAAACACACCTGGTTGTATTCAAATCGCAAGCCTTCAGTTTGCTGTGAGCTTGAACTGAGCAAGGGACTTGATTCTCTGCCTGCTCTTTTCTCGTAAAGGGGGTTGTCTTCTTAGTCAGGGTCCTCTTGCTGCGAGGAGACACCGGGACCACAGCAACTCTTCGAAAGGAAAGGATTTTATTGGGACTGGCTTACAGTTGCAGAGGTTTAGTCCATTATCGTCATGGCAGGGAGCATGGTGGCGATAGGTAGACATGGTGTTGGAGAAGTTAAGAGTTCTACATCTGGATCCACAGGAAGCAGGAAGGGAGAAAGAATCTGCGCCTGGGCAGAGCACTTGAACCTCCAAACCCCACCCCATTGCACACTTGCTCCAATAAGGCCACACTCACTAATCCCTGTCAAGTAGTGCCACTTCCCAATGACCAAGCATTCGCTTATATGAGCCACTGGGGGGAGGGGAACATTTTTATTCACACCACCACAGGAAGGAATAACAGAGAGCCTCTCTTAGCCGCATTGGGAGAAATGGATGAACTCAAACATATACAATGTTTCACATCATTTCTGGCATGTCTGTAGTTATGATTCCCTTCTTAAATCTCACTCCGGCTCGGGGCAGCCATGACAGAGCTCACCTGAGCTAAGACTGGCCTAGCACCCCTGAAAACACTGAGCAGTAATGGACTTTGCATTGTTGAAGTGAAGTTCCTCCCCAGGCTCACAGCTGGAAGAGTCTGGCTGGAAGCTGTAAACAGGCACTTCGGGAAGCCCAGCCCAGAAACTTCCCCAGAGCCATCCACTTCCTTTCCAAACTCAAGAAGAAACATTTGCCAGGAGCCAGGATGTCTGGCTTGGTGAGATGCCAAATCTAGTCCTACCTAGAAATCAGTCTTACACTACTCAAAGCAAACTGTCGATTGTGGGGGACATCAGAACTTTGAAGGTATTATCCTCTGTTAAATATTACAGTTTCAAAGACAAAGGGATAAAGAAAGAGGTCATGCTTGATACTCAAAAGGGCTTTAAAATAAAACCAGTCCTACAACAGGCCTGAGGGAAGGAGATCATGTCTTTTCCTTCGGTTCTGTTCCTGCATCTTCAACTTCTTGTCCTGGAAAAAAAGGTGTTAAATTGGGTTATTAGAGTCTCTCAACTCCACCAGGCTGTGACTTTTGTAACGCAATATAGATCTTGGATGTAGATGATAGGCAAGAGAAAGCAATTCTAGAAACAGAAACAGGAAATGACCTCGAAGTAAGGCCATGACCCACATATAAACTGACAACATGACCTCTCCATGGTATGGGAAGGTTTTTTTTTAATTGTAGATATGAGAGAGAGAACAGCCAGAGGCATCTTGAGGAGTCCAGAGCAGAGAGAGAAAGAAATAGGCTGAACATAGCCAGCAGACTGAACACAGCCAGTAAATTGGAAATGGCCAGGGCAATCTGTGAGGGAGGGGAGAACAGCTAGGGATAAAGAGAGAAAGCAAAGTGAGAACAGCTGGGTTATAAGAAGGGGTGTAGCTGGGGGGAGGGTGGACCAGGACGCTGGTGTGGGGGCCCTGAGATGTATAGCCAGTACTTGTGGGTAGGAACCGAGGGAGCCTGGAGGCCAGCATGGGCCTTGATGTGTTGAACAGTGCCATGGGTGTATGTGAATTGTGTCCTTTTTGCCGGAGATGAAGGAAATGACTCCTTTTGGCGCACAGAGCTGGCTCCACCAGTTCCTGAGAAACACCGGCTTTTATCGAACTACAGAGATCCTCCTGGGGTCCAGGTCAAGCCTGGTTCTGAATATTTGGACTGTGTTTTGGAGTTTGGGGAATTGGAGTTTCCTTTGGACCTGATGTCCAGGAGCTCCCAGAGACAAAGAGGCAAGAGAACCAGGGAGGGGAACAGGCCTCTGGGTAGGTGGAAAGTGAACTATGGGAAGTGAACTGTGGGTAGGGACCAGCAGGCAATTCGGCTCCTGAGATGAACAAGTGGGCTCTCTTTCCCCACCTTTTTGTGGTGCCCCTGTAATTTGAAGTCCCGGGGCAGATGCTCCAGTGTGCAGAATCAAATATGTTCCCTTCCTTCCTACAGCATCTAGTCTAAAGAGAAAGCCAGATACGAATAACTGCAAAAATAATTGTAAGTAATAGCCACAAAACGGATGGTGTGGAGGAATATATGTACCCAGTAGGGTTCATGATTCTGAGATACCAGAGGAAGCCACCTTTCTGAGAAGCAATTCCCCACAACTGGAAGCAATTCTGTCAGATCCTTGCAGGACACCAGCACAACCACCGGCTCTTTCAAGCCCAGCGGTGTGCCCCACAGGCAGACCAGCTCCATATACCTTCGCACGGTTTTCACTATTTAGTAAAGTAATACTGAGTGTAAGTCAGCGAAATCGCTTTCTGAAAGCCGCCACACCCAATAGAACTAGAAGCTTAATGTATGCCTGTTGGAAGCCAAGCTCCCATCGATTCCCAAGTCATCTGTCAGAACATAATAGGGAATGTGAAGAGAAACAGTAATTTGGCTCTTCGGAAACTGTGGAATATCCATACTTCATCGTGTGGGAAGCCTAAACCCCTGCAGAAAAAAATCTGAGACCCGAGCTGACTCGTCTACTAATTAGGGACACCCAGACAGAGTAAGACAGAATGAGTTCCACTTGTCAAATCTCCAGTCCCTAAATTTTGAAATTACAGTTTTAGTTTGCGACCTAGAAAGGAAGAATAACAAGTTCTTATACAAACCATCCTCTCAATTGTTTGTGGCAGGAGGGAAGGTATGGTGCCCATGAGACGGCTCAGTGGGTAAGGGCGCCTGCTCCCAAGCCTGATGGCCAGAGTTGTTCCCGTTTCTCTCTCTCACACACCTACCATTCTGTGTCTGAGACCCATCTAACAAAAATTAACAGAAGAAAATATACTAATTTATTTAAATAAATCTTATTTGGCCCAACAGTCTTTATAGGAAAATGACAACCCAAAGAATGTGTGTGTGTGTGTGTGTGTAAATGTGTGTGAATGTGTGTGTGTGAATGTGTGTGTAAATGTGTGTGTAAATATGTGTGTATAAATGTGTGTGTAAATGGGTGTGTAAATGGGTGTGTGTGTGTAAATGTGTGTGTGTAAATGTGTGTGTGTGTGTGTGTGTGTGTGAGAGAGAGAGAGAGAGAGAGAATGCATGCATGTACCCATGTGTGTGGTACACAAGCTCATGCATACACACACAGATACCAGAGGTTGACAGCAGATGTTGTCCTCATATCTACCCTATCATCATCATTATTAACAATATTTAGTGTGTGTGTGCATCTGTATACATGCATGCCCCTTTGCATATGTGGAAGTCAGAAGACAATATGAGGAGGTCAGTTTCCTCCTCCCATCGTGTGGGTTCCAGGGATCAAACTTGGTTCTTCAGACTTGGCAGAGAGCAGCCTGCCTGCTGAGCCACATCACCAGCCGTCCACCACGTTTTTGGAGACAGCGTCTCTCACCGAGTCTGGAGCTGGTCGTTTTGGTCAGACAACAACCTCCCGCGTATCCATTCGTCTCCACTGCCCAGTCCTGGGGTTACAGATCTGTAACCAGCGTTTCCATGAGCATTGATGATCAGAATTTGGGTCCTCATGTGTACACAGCACTTTACCCACTGAGCCAACTCAAGACATGGATGTGTTTTAGAGTGTGTTTTGTGGACAGCAGAGAGTGATAGAGAACGTGGCAGTGTGAAAGTCGTGAGCTATAATGACAATTAGTGGAGATGGGACTTAGCAAGGCCTCTTTGCTCCAGTTCTACAACTGCCCTGAGTCTCTGGAGATGAGGATACTGCTGGTAAGGCTTGGGAATGAGAGAACCACCTCTCCCATTGGGTCTTAGATGCTGTCTCTGAGAAGGGTCAGAAAAGGATTCATTTGGCCTGCCTCTCAGGAGATGGGTCAGGGGGGCTCGGGGGGGCCTCCTTGCTTCCTCTGTTCAGAAACACAACTTTAGTCATAGAAATCATATTGGAATACCGCATCTGGGAAATGCTGGCTTACTTTTCACTGTGAAGATCTGACCTCTTATCTATGCATGCTTCGTATTGAAACTGATACCTACACTTAGTCATGATATCCATGGTGGCTGTGGCAGATGTGAGAGCCGAAAGAATCAGAGGAAACATTGGCTATCAAATTTAAATACTCAAGGCATTTCATTTAAGTACCTTTTATTTCAGTATCCTTGAATTTTTTTTTTAAAAAAAATGGTCTTATGCCAAAAGGAGGCAACATTTATAAAGGCAAATAAATGTATGAACAAATACACAGACCCTCTTAAGGAATTTACCAACTAGAAACTGTCCATCTGTGTAGGAGAAAACCATCCTGTGCCTGCAACATGACCCAGCGAGAGGACTTTCATCCTTGGTCGTTCTTGGTTCCTCAAGATGAAGTCCTCAGGCCCACACTGAGTAGAGCAGGTAATGATGGCTGGAAGAGGTCAGCGCCCGCTTGCTCTCCCATGAACTCCATCAGCTTGTTCCTCCTTGGCTCACGGCAACTCTGACGCACTCGTCTCCTTGGTCTCGTGGGTCAGACGCTCTCCAGTTCTCAGCAGCCAGGGTCTCCTCGCTGCCATTCACCTATCGGTACTTCCTCAGTTGGACCCAAACTCCTCAAAGTCTTTGGTCCAGACTGTCCAAGGATAGCCTGAAAGTTTTTAAAATGCAAACGAATATTATTCACCCAAGAGTTTCTTAAGTGCTGTCTAAAATTAGAATTGGTAGAGAACAATTTTGAATCATTCATTTCAAACATCGTATCCTATACTATGAAATACCTTCTTTCCATCACTGACTAGGGGCTCTATCCGCTACTGTGTTACACAATGATGCTCCTACTGTATCCCTACAAGGACAGCATTGGAGTGATGAGAACCTTGCAAGCATAGGACAGAGGAACCCTAGAGATGCCTCTTGCCTCTGCTACCACGGGACTTTGGCATCCTCTCAATGGAAACATGGGAGTGGGTACAGGTCTCTCTGTTTAAACAGCCCACGGTAATGGTAGGACTGCAGTGGAGTGATTTTTCTATTCCATATGTTTATTTAGGGTCTAGCAAAAGCTAGGCATCTTGCCCTCTGACTGGCGGCTCTATCGTCAGCTCTTCCAGACCCTGTCTTATCTTACGTTCGTCACTGGTCGTCACTGGGATTGCGGTTTCTCTACCCTGATTTCCCCACTAACTGCCATGTTACTTTTGCCTGGAGTAAAGTTCTTGACACAAAGTTCCTATTTGAGGCAAATAACCAAAGTGGAGAATATTTATCTGTGAGCTTGAACAGTCCCGGCATGAGGACCGGCGTGGGAGGAAACAGACGTGGGGCTCAGGAAGACTTTCTTGGCACTCTCATTAATCAAACCTAGGAATTTCTAGCCAACGGCAGACCCTGACCACACGAAGTCCTGCCAGACTTCCTTCTTGAACACACACGTATCCACACCGCTAGGTTTGCACTTTGCACATTGGCCGTTTGGACTGGATCTTTAGTTACCTCTCCAGATCAACTCTACCCTTCCTTCTATCCACTTGGTGCCCTGCCAAAAGGCTGCACAAGCCACTTCACCTTGGCTTAGTCTGTCTATCCTTGCTTAGCCTTAGCCAGTGGAGAAGGCTAGCACAGCTGAGCAAAGGAAGGGCAGGGTTCGGCTTGGTTTTTCCTCCCTCTCTCTTCAGGGCAACCAAAGCTATGATATCCTTTGTTTGAGGTCAAGCCCCTTATCAGACAACTCTTCCTAAACAAAACAGACTCTTTCTCTCTCTCTCTCTCTCTCTCTCCCCCCCCCCCAGAGTTTTCACTTTTCACATCCTGTCTTGATAGACTATTAAACTTTGACTTACTCAATTTGAATAAAACACTAGTTTTCTGCTAGAGCCTGGACCAATAGCCTCTCAAGTACTATGAAGTCTTAGGAACAAGACCGGCCATGATGAAGCACAATGGGAGGGTACCTAGAGATGCCGTAGGTGAGCTTTCCCTCCCCCTTTCTGTTACCACCGTATGTGACCTTGTGTCACTGCAGTCACTTAATACACATTTGCTGAATGAATGGAAAGCATCTTGAAGACACCTCTGAGCATATTTTTAAATTAGAATATATTAATCAAGGCACATTCCTCTAGGGTATCAGATGCCAAAGGTAAAGTTTTGTTTCAATGACTGGATAAATGGGCTGGACTAAACAAATCTCACAACCCCTTTAATCATGCTCTGACTGATTTACCGCTCGACTCCAGGACAAGCGATGCCAAGGGATGAGCTGACATTTCAGGGACAGTTGCACAGACCGAGAGATTAGTCTAATAGACCGAGAGATTAGTTTGCTGATCCTTCCTGAATCTTGGAGAAAATGGGCACTTTAGCTCATGTCACCGAATTTCAGTGGGCTGGCTTCACAAGTTTATAACTTCTATGTCCTCCGCCCAGACAGAAATGCTGATGAGGGGCAAGCAGAGTTCCCTGAGGCCATTCATATTTATAATGCACTGGTCAAACCATCAATAAGGCTAGGCATCACTCACTGTGTATATTGATCTTGCTGGAGCACTGCAGAAGTGACTTCGAGTTCTGGTATTGGGGGGAGCATCTCCATGATCCGCACCGAGGGCAGCCTTCCAGTGGACTCTACAGTTTAAGACAAAGAGCCGTGTCAGTCAATAGCAAGACAAAAAGAACTTGTAATATGGATGGATTGGAAGGGAACCCTGCCCTCCTTTTAAAAAGGAGCTGAGCAGTTTCTGTCGCTCATTCAATTCCTTTCAGATGGTTCTAATACTTTAAGCCCACTTCCCTCAAGTTCAGGTATGTACCCTCATTTCCTCCTTCAGCTCCTCACCCCATTTTGATGGAGGAAGGTCACTGGTTAATTATAATAAAGAAACTACTTGGCCTCATAGGTTAAAACATAGGTGGGTGGAGTAAACAGAACAGAATGCTGGGAGGAGGAGGAAGTGAGCTCAGACTCGACAGCTCTGCTCTCTGGAGCAGAAACGCCATGCTCCCCTCTCCCGGGCAGACACGATCAAGCTCCGTCCCAGGATGGAAGTAGACTAGCATCTTCCTGGTAAGCGCACCTCAGTGCTACATACTTTATTAGAAATGGGCTAGTCCAGGTGCGAGAGTTAGCCAAGAAGAGGCTAGATATAATGGGCCAAGCAGTGTTTAAAAGAATACAATTTGTGTGTTGTTATTTCGGGTAAAGCTAGCCGGTGGCAGGAGCTGGGTGGCGGAATGCAACCCGCAGCTCCTACTACACCATTTCCTGAGAATGCAATCTGAAGCTGGCTAAAATCACTATTAAAATTAGCATTTATTCCACAGTTAGTCTTCTAAAGGATAAGATGACCAAACACCCCCAAACAAGAGAGTCAAATGAGATGGGAAACAGTCTCCACCTGGGCCCAGAACTCCCTGCTCCCTGTTGTCTCCTCCTCGCTGAATCCTCGCACTTAAGGCCTGAGCATCCTTTGATTTTATTTCACGGACAATGAGTACCAACTACTTCCAGGGTGCCACTCCCATCAGCCCAGCCCCGCCTCAGAGTTCCTAAAAACCATGATTAGTGTCTAGTATTGAGTGAAGAGGACACTGTTTTACAAATGTAATCAGCATCCCAAACTGCTTGGATTTAAGCTGACAGAAAGGGGGATTATCTCGACTGAGTCCGAGCCTGATTCATAACAAAGCTCTCCAAAGAGAGACCAGGTCTTCTCAGATCAAGATCCCAAGATCAGAAAGATTCTAGAAGCAAACAGTCGTGGAGAACTGTAGGTGACATGAAGGAGCAGTGGCACACAGACAGTAAGAAGCCAGAGTCCTCAGAACCCTCCAGCAAGGAAGTGCCTTCTGCCAGACATGAGCCTGGAAGCAGAGCTCTGGGAGAGACTGCAGCATGGCTGACCTCTTGATTGCAGTTTTGGAAGTCTCAAAGCTGAGTCATGCTCAGATAAGGAGTGACCAGCTTCCAACCCGCAGAAGCAGAAATAACACGACGCATTATGTCGCGCTAAGCAACAAAGTTTGCGGTAATTGATTACACAGTTGAAACGAATATAGTGATCGACAGAGTCTCGGCCTGAATGTCACCAGAGGCGGTAATTAAAAACGCAGGTTCTTGGGCTCTGTCCCCAGATCTATTGGATTTGAATGTCCCTTCCTAGAAGCCTGGGAGTCTGAATGTTCTAGACTTCCAAAGTGACTTGGGTGTGCATGAAAGCTTTTGGAATAAATTTTCTGTGCAAACAATTGCTTAGATGTGCCCCGACAAGATGTCTTTGGCCTTCTGCAATCTGAGATTTGGAGACTGCTCTTTTTAAAGGTCATATCAAAGGAGTCTATTCATAAAATGAAATAATTATCATGCAGAATTAATAAGGGTCATCTGCCTGGAGAGCCAGCTGCACATTGTCTGCTTGTGGATTCAGAGTGTGGATGTTTTATAGCACAATATGACCACACTGTCAGAAGGAAAGCTATTACCTGTCAAAATGATACCTAGTTGGGAATACCCTCCCTCTAGTGGTATGTTATCTTCGGCGTCCCCTAGTATCCAAAGTCATGCAACTCATATGCTAATAGCAAAACTTCTAAAAACTGATTTTAAAAAACATCCAAAGTCAGATAGATGTGTGTCATTTTAATTTCTTCTTCAAAATAGCTAAGACAAGTGAAACGTTTCCTCTCACATTGCCCTGGAAAATAGTTTCCTTCAAACCCTAATAATTCGCCAACTCTAGCTAAGGCAGCACAAGCTATCAGAAATATATTTAAACGTCATAAATGTCTTTTCAAGAATTTGTCAATTCTCTCACTCAAACACTTGATGCTTTTCAGGAACCTCCAAAGGTCTTTAATGTTTTTCAAAGAACCCCAGTGTGGTTTTCAGCCTGACTGAGTCTCAGAAACAATGGATTTCCACAGTAGAAGAAAGGCCTTATCACACTTCCTGTGACAACGTCCAGGTTGCCCTGCAATGCAATGCTTACCCTCCCCCCTCAAAAAAAAAAAAAGAAACAGGTTTCTATCACTTTTCAGAGGTCTTTTACATCTGGGACATCTGGGTCTAACCTCATTTCATCCTTCCCACGTAATACTGTATTCCTTCCGTGTAACCTGCAGGGTGTTCTCACAATGCTTTGTTCCGGGTGAGTTTCTGGTCTGTCTCCCAGTGGAGAACATATCTAAGCCTTCTTCTCTTGGTTGGGAAGCCCGTCTTTCCCATCAAATTTTTCATGTGCTTGCCTCCAAACTACTTATTCAGTTACATTTTACTTTTTATGTATGTGAAAGGAGTGTGGGGGCGGGTGCTGATGTGTATGCACAAGTAAACGTGTGTGCATTTTGAGGCCAGACACGTCATTCCTCCTCAGGTCCTGTGTGCCTCATGTTGATGTTTTATTTTGAAACGGGGTCTCTCACTGGCCTGAGCCTCACCCAAGTAGCCTGACCAGTGAGCCCGAGAGATCAGCCTGTCTCTGTCCCTACAATCAGCTTTTCCTATAGGTCCTGGCTGTTCTTGAATTCAGGTCCTCCTTCTTGCAAATGTTTTGATAACTGGCTTACTTATTTTTTGTGATTATTTATTTGTCTTGGAACGTGTCGGTTAAGCCCAGATCATAAGGCAAAGTCAGGCTTGGAATGGGGATGTACATGGTGGGTATCAAGGGAGGACAGAGGGTCAAGGCAAGGACCATCTGGGCAAAGATGGAGGACTTGTTCAAAGCATATGTTCTGCAGTCTGTTCTTCCAGAGCTGGTATAAATGACTGTCACATAAAGGCATTCAATGAACGCCTATAATAAATCATTCTATTCCAGCTGTGGACTCTTCCGGCAAAGAAAGCCATCCTTTGCATTTTGATCTAGTCTGTAACCAAGCAGATAGCTATAACCTTCTCTGCATTATGAACCCAACTGGCATTTTAAGAGTCATCGATATTATGGGTAAAGCAAGTAAAAATTAAACTTTCATGTTATCTTGCTTAGTTGCAAAACATCTGGCACCAGCCATTCATCTTCTCTTCTGCAGGCAATTGAAACCTGCACAGTCTTTATTATCCCGGCCATGAACATGCTGGGAATTATAACTTTCCATTGCCATTAGTTTTATTTGGGGGTGCTATGAATCAGGCTATCCCCCTACAACCTCTCTCTCTAGCTCTTGGTGATCCAACAGCCTTGTCTGGACTCTGTGGGCAAAGGTACATGCGTGTGTGTGTGTGTGTGTGTGTGTGTGTGTGTGTGTGTGGTGTACAAACCCACACATAAAAAATAAAATCCCCTTTAAAATGCCTTTCTTAAAATGGTCATTGTTTCTCATTGCTCCTTGATACCCTTAGCAATTCTACAAAATTCACTGTCCATGTTTCCAATGAAGGAGAATTATGTTCCTTCTGATTATTCCTGCTCTGTGTGTCCATGTTCATGTTTGTGTTCACCTTTCTCATCCTTAAGACTCGTTTCTTTTCTAACTTTTAAATTTATTTCTGATATTTTTTGATACAGGGTCTTAGTGTGCAGCTCTGGTTGTCCAGGAACTCATTGCAGAGACCAGGCTGGACTCGAACTCACAGACATCATCCTGTCTCTGCCTCCCTCCCGTGTGCTGAGATTGAAGGTGTGTGCCATGACATCAGCTCCCCTTCTCTATACCCACTTCTCCCTAGGGTTGTGCTGCTTCATAAACTCTTATCATGAATGAATGGGATCCCAAGGGCTATGCTACAGTGAAGGATACAGAACAGGTAATGTGACGTCGTCACCCATGTGACGATATTCACTGAATGGATAAGACAGTAAGGAAATCAACACGAAGACAGACAACATGAACCATCCCGTTTCTCGGGGAAGGAGAAGAGCATCAGAGGCACACATGTTCCATGTGGCTCTAATAGTGGCAGTGGCAGGCTCTGAGCAGAATAGGGTCCTGCTGAGTCCTCCTTGCTTGTTTTTTAGAGGATGATGATTTGGGGATGGCCGAGCCTCTCTCCATCCCAGGGTGTGTACTGTGTGGCAACACTACCCTTGTAGGTCATGAACCACAGGGCCATTCCGGAGCGAGTGGCTAGCACTGACGCCAGGCTCAGCTGAATGCTACACACAGGCATTGCTTTTTTTGAATTCCGCTTCTTTTCTTCATGGTACCGCATTTCCGGAGACTCACATGGGCACATTTTCCCTTACCTCTCGCTGCTGCCTGTAATCCATCATGACAAAGAGCAGCCTTAAAGACAGCTCAGGGGAGACATGATTTCCTCTCCACTTCTCACTGGAAAGAGCGACTTAGAATGAAGAAAGGGGTGCTTTCAGGGTAAAGGACGATAAATGAGAAGGGCCTCCCCCTTTTCCTTTAGAAGATGCTAAGCCTCAAAAGGATCCTTGGCCTTAAAAAAAGAACCTCACCCCCCTGGGTCTGCCCTGAACATTCCTACAATATGTCTGGTACTAAAACCAGAGGGTTTTTTAGTGAGAGCCGTTACAGAGAAGGCAGCCCCATGACAGCTTCTTCGGGGCTAGGAAAACCTCAGGCTCATAAATAAAACTTGTGAGGTTCATCTCGTGGCTAGCCAGGCCTTAAAATTTGTGACTCCCGCAATTATCTGAGGTGACAGGGGAACAATTGACTTGTTCTCAGACAAGACTGCTGTGCTCAGAATTATGGCTAGGAAACAGCCAGGCTTCCTTGGGCAATCACAAAACCCAGCAGAGGTGGGCTGAACCATTCCTGGGGTACGGGCAGGTACACTAGACAAGAGAGACGAGCAGCAGAATTGCCATTTTCTTCCTTTAAAAGATGATTTCTCACCCTAAAACAACTCTGGGGGCTTTTATGTCATTAATTAAACGAAATCTTTGTGAACCACACAAAATGTCCATTCACTTGACTCCTAGACAGCTAATGTTAAGAATTGTCCAGCTGATGCTTACTACTAACCCTGGCTTAATAATTTTCCGTTACCAGATTATGTAGATTGATATCTTGAGCTGCATCCAAGCTAATTTGTTCCCAGGCTAAGGGTCTATCTGACTGCCTGTTTCAGTAGTTAACAGAAGCCTTGGGCACAGGGTCCCCTGTAAAGTGCTGGGCGGGCCTCTAGGTGGCTGCCATTGTCCTGCAGTGGAAGCAGGAAGTTATCCAGTTTCCTCTCATGTTTGGAAAGGGTTTGCACACCAGATATGAAGCTTCCTTTTGTGCAAGCTTCTCAACTAGTGCAAGCGGCTGCTCACCCGCTGGAAACAAAGAATATAAACAATATCAAAAAGACGTCAAAAACATCCTCTGTCGCCAGGCAAATGAGCATAATCCTACGGGGCAGGGTGGGGGACAGAGACAGAGCTATAAGCTTGAGGCCAGCCTGGGCTACATAGTAAGCCCTTGTCTCACAGAGAAAGAGAGAGAATAGCCAGGAACTGTCACACAGACTGCAAGAGATTAAAATGAAATCTAAACGCAAGCCAGGCCTCGTGACACAGGGTCACAAATCTAAGTCAATTCAAGGCCAGCCTGGGCAATTTAGTGGGCTCCTACCTCAAAATTAAAAAGGTGGGGAGGCTGGGGGAACATAGCTCAGCGATGTAGATAGAGTGTTTGCCTAGCATGCCCAAGGCCCTACCTAGGTGGAATTTCCAGTTTTTTAAAAATCCTTTCTCTTTGGTGAAGGAAAAGGAGGACCTTTACCCTGTCCACGTCATCGGCTTTCGTTTTAATGTGGTTTGACAGCAGGCCGCGCAATTAAAAAGATGAAGTTGGAACCGGCATCTGTGTTCACAGCCCTCTTAGCTGCTCTAATTAGGATCCCCTTCCTCCCTCCCCCTTCTCGGGCGAGGACAGGGCCTTTTTAATTGAGGCTATTAGAAGTTCTCTTTACACAACGACGCCCCGTGAAGTGAAGGCTCCAGCAGAAGCTCTGCCCACTGTACAATTACCTCTCGCAACTCTGAGAAATAATAGTATCTTGTCTCGTTTAAAAATAAATCCCCGGCTCGTTCCCCATGGCGTTCTCTCCCTTGCCTGCTTACGCGAGCTTCTTCTTGCCAATTAGGCAAACTTTCCGTTATTTAAGGAGATGGCTTTGATCATAATTGTCCCCTGATAATGAGATGTACGGAGCTGGATTACAGTCGCCCACAGTTCCTTTATTCTAAACTCAAGGCTACTTAAAATGAACTCGGGTCTGGAGTTTGCGGTGTGCGGAGAGGGTGCCGCCTTGGCATTTCCCGTCCTGCGCTGTTTGAAACTGCAGAACTCACCTGGAATAGCCGTCATATTCAAGACGCTCAGCTTCGCAGAGTCACTTCCTCTTAAGAGAACGGTTGCAGATTTGGGTTTACGACCTATTCCAAGAAAAGAAATTAAAGATTTAGATACCAAATGAGCACATTCTGTCACATGTGGTGGTGGTTTAGGCCTCTAATTGCAGCGCTTGGCGAATGAGGCAGGAGGATCCTGAGTCTGAAGGCCACCTGGACTACATAGTGGCCCCTGTGTCACTCCCTTTCAAAGTCACATTGCCACTGTGCTCCCTGTGATAGCTTAGATTGTCAAGGAGACAGGATTGGCCACAAGGGAATCTGGAGCAACACGGCAGCCGGAATTTTTATCGTCCTTTCACTAACCAACACAGGCGCATGTGGGCACAAGCCTTTAACCCCGGGCACCCCAACAGCAGAGCAGATATATCTATGTGAGTTCGAGGCCAGCCTTGTCTACACAGTGAGTTCTACGACAGCCAGAGCCACATAGTCAATTCCTATCTCCAAACAAACAAACAACAAACAAAAACCCACACACCAATAACAACAAAACCAGTCTCTTTCTAAAAGTAATGGTTTCTCCACTATCATACATACTGTTATGTCTATCTATTCTTGAAAAGGCACCAGCCAGTATTTACAAAATGCTATTTTTGTCTATATGGATATGATACGCAGAATATTTAAGAAGTATTGCAGATTAGTTATGTCTAGTAAGTAGCATGAGTATTGTGATATTTTTCATTGCTTTATATATTTAGACTTGCAAGGAAAACACTTAGAAAGCCATTGAATTTGTATTCTGGATAGACGTTTGAAAGAATTTAACGTACTTCCCACTGTGGCCTGTGTCTTTCTAGGCATTTTCCTACCTCGTATCTTTCTTAGTCTGTATTCATACATGAAAAATGGTTCAAGAAATGTAGAACTTTGAATTATTTTCAACTACCACACATTTCAATGCCTAGAAGATGCCAAGTTTTACTCTGACATTTTATTAATTGTGTAGATTTTTACAAAACTGCTAACTTACCTGAGTTTGGGAGTTCCCCCGCTTTTTCTGCAAAAAGCAAAAATAATAGTACTGTTTCCATACTGCTGTGGTTTTACCCGGTGGCCACGACAAATACCAGGACAAAAAGGGGAAAGGTCTTATTTGTCTTCTACTTCTGGGTCACAGTCTAGCACTGATGGGAGTCAAGGCAGTCCTGCTAACTCTGCTGCATGGTGCCACCTCCCACCAGGGAACTCAGCTCATGGCCAGGAAGTAGAGCAGGAATGGGGAGGCTGCCGCCTGTTAGCTGGCTTGCAGTCTGGCATGTACTCAGCTAGCTTTCTTATCCAGTTCAGGACTGCCTGCTTAGGGATGGTGCCCGCATCGGTAAGGAATCAGGACAACCCCACCACCACACAGACACGACCAAAGGCCAAGCTGATCTGGGCAATGCATCCCTTGAGACTCCCTGCTGATGTTATTCTAGGCTGTGTCAAGGTGACAGTTAAGGCCATCCAGGACACACGCTTTGATCACCCAGTGGAAACTGTTGTTCTACAAAGACTCAACATGGTCATGTCATTAACCATGACGCGGCAGACCTTTATTACTAAGGGATCAGAGATGAGACTCGTTCTGCAACGACTCTCAAAAAAATCCCTGCCACAGAGAATTAACTCAAAGAATCAACGGCACCCTTGCTGCAGGTGAACATTATTTATTAAACAACCTTGCCTGTCAAAGAACATAAGAAGCGAACGCACCCAGCCATACTACAAGCCTTCATTGGGAAACCAAGTGGTGGCACACACCTTTCTTTAATCCCAGCACTTGGGAGGCAGAGACAGGTGGATCTCTGTGAGTTTGACAACAGCCTGGTCTGCAGAGCGAGTTCCAAGACAGTCAAGGCTATTACACGGAGAACTCCATTGCAAAACAAAACAGAGAAACCAGAATGAGAGAAAGAGAGAGAGAACTGGCTGTGCCCTGACGATATTCAACTCCTTGGGTGATCTCTTTATTTCAGCCTCTACCCCAGCTCCATGTGGCAGAGGCAAGTACCGGGTAGGACAGTTGAGGAAAACCGTGTTTAGCAATGGTAACTCACTCAAAGCTATAGGAGGTAATACAAGGGTCTGATGTCTTCAGAGTCTGCTATCATGGCGATGCTTTTATACAGTCTTTAAGAGATCAACTGATTACCGAAGAACTGTCAATCAAGTCTGATATGTAGCCAGGGTATGCACATGCAGTGTTACAATCCACCCTGCTAGATGAGTGCCCAGGTCATGCTAATTACCAAAGCTGTTTAACACTGCTCCCACTGTTCTGACTTAAGAAGCCCTTCTAGTTCCGTCCCACCCAAACTCCATCAACACCCCCTACACTTATTAAAGATTTTTACTCTCATATGGTCACCTAGAGACCCCTCTGCTCTGGGTCTCTAGCTCTGCAAGTGTCTGCCCTCACTTCCACTAAGCCCTCCCAGCCACCATCGGGGACAGCTCCTCTTTTTCACCCTGCCTTTCTTCCTGACTGTTTGCCTGTCCGTGTAGGAGAATGGCCCCTGAATGCTGGTGCTGCTGTCTTTCCTTTAGATTCTCCAGAACCAGCATTTACACAGAGGAGGAACACAGTAAGTGGCCAACCGAGCTAAAACGAAAATCTGGGGCGGACAGGTGTGTGTGCGTGTTTCCCCGGGGAAAGCCATATGGCCGGGGGCTATTTTCCCGGTACTTACTCTGCCACCTCCGCACTCTCCTGTGGTCCTCAAGGATTTTGTGGATAATGAGGATGATGCCGACCATAAAAACTAATAACACTAAAATGTACCAAGTGATCTTCATGGGACAAGTGACAGCTGTAAAAATTAAAAAGAAAAGAATTTAGGCACTCTAAAAATCAGTAAAGGTGGCAGGCGTAGGTACTCGCCAACCCTCTGAGGTCTGCCCCGAAAACTCACACAGAGGAAGGACAGAACCAACTCCTGCGAGTTGTCCTTTAGCCTGGACTCATGTGTCATGGCAGACATGCACACACAAATAAATATATATAAAATAAAAAAATTCGACACAATGAGACAGAGCATGAGATAAGAGGCCAAGTGGAGGTGTATGCCTTTGGCAGAAAAGCTATTTGCTGCCTTAACTTAACAGGGATCCTTGCTCTCCTGAACACTTTTCCAATATATTAAATGAAGCTACTAAATGAGGAAATTGGCCAAGTGGCTCCCAGGGATCCATTTAATTCAAAATCCTGGCATTTAATTTCACTTCCAGGTGATGCCAATATCAATTTCCTCGTTGTACATCAAGAGTGCCACAAAGCAGCCTTATATCAGGGTTGTGTGCGATTAATCATCTTGGTCGTGGGCCATGCAGCCCCAAATAAGCCCTCAAATTAGCAAAGGCACAGCAAGAGCGAGGGGCATGGGGCAGCGACGGAAGGCAGAGGCCGAGGACTGAGTGACTAGACCCTGTTTCTGCCAGTGTTACAGCGTGGATGGAAAACGTCCCCAGAGACTCCTGTGACTGAACACTTGGCGCCCAGTTAACTGTATCATTTGAGGAGGCTACACCGTATATGACAGGCATAATTTAAAACTATTAACCACCTTTAAAATGATTAAGCTTTAGTGAAGAATCCTAAAGTGATGGAGAAAGCTTTCATCTTTTTAGAGTACCCAAATGTCTAGCAAACAGTTCTGTCATAACACCTGCAGCTCCGGGGGGGCTGTGTGATTCTTTTCTCTGGTTTTATGTTCGTCTGACTCCTGGCCCCCATCCGGGCATGGTGCCGGGCATGGTGCCGGGCATGGTGCCGGGCATGGTGGTTGACATACAGAAGGTACTCACTAAATGAATATAGTATAAAATGTTTTCTAAGAATACATTTTATGGCTGAGGTGGGGGTACACTGCTTAGCAGAAAATATTAACTGTGGGGTTCGGAACAGGATGCAAGGAACTTAATCAGCCTCGAAAAGAATTTAAATGTCTGAGATTCTTTCTCCTCAGAATCAGCCAGTCACACACACACACACACACACACACACGCACACGCACACGCACACGCGCCAGAGCCTAATCTTTAAGAAAACTCCCCCTCTGAGTATTGAGGACTGGTGACTTTCCATCAAGCGCAGATACCAGACAGGCTGCAGTTACCCTAGGGCAGAGGACCTTGGGTAGCCCTCAAATCACAAACCCAGACATACCACCTCTGTCTCAGGTTATGGCTGAGTCCCATAAAACACATCTTAAAATCAAGTAAACAGATAAAAAAGGATTAATATTTTGGGGCAGTATTATTTCCATAATGAAATTTTCAGCTATTTGACTTCTGGTGAATTTCACAGCCCCTTCTTAATTTTATGTATGGGTACCCGACTTCTCTATTTCTCCCTCATTTCCCTTCAAACTTACATTTCACATCTATTGCGAGGCGCAAGGAAACATGAGTACAGTTACTCATGTTTTCCATAATTCCACAAGTGTGGTTTAGAGAATCTCCCCTGGGTGGTTTCCCAGGGTGGGCTTCAGGGGTACAGGTAGCGTTATATTCTTTCATAGGGTCAACTAGAAGAGCGACGGTGACATTATAGTGCTGGCAGGGTGAGTAAAAGTCGTTTGCCTTCACTTCCAGTGATCCTGTCGTGATGAGACCTAGAAAGAGATGAAGGAAGGGTATTTTCAGAGTGGTAGTATTTAGCCAGAAGACGCAATTCAGAGCTGAGTCTCACTGGGTGTGCCGGTGCACACCTGTAACCCGCAGGATGCTGAGGCAAGACTTACAGGTTGGAGGAACATGAATGTCATGTAGTCAATACCAAGTCTCACAGAGGTACACAGCAAGACCCTGTCTCGAAAAAAGAAAATATAACCAAACAAACAAAGTCTTAAATCTCTTTTCTTTAAAACAAAATAGAAAACAAAGTTTTGTACACTACAATTAATTATCAAGGTGATTTTAAAAAAAAAGTTATGAAAATGATAGAAGTAAGATTAAAATAGGATTGGAACCTCTCAGAGAACACACAGATATTTCCATGAATATCTGTTCCTGATCTGGGACAGGTCAAATTGTTCAAAAGGTTCACAGTGTTTTCCACTCCACATAGCCCATGCTTTCTACAGATGTGACAAAGTACTATAAACTGGGTGACCTAATGAACAGAATTTTTTCTCATACTTCTTTTTCTTTTTAAAATTTTAATGTGCATGGACATTTTTAACCTTTGTGTGTGCACATGTGTGTACCATGTGCAACCTGGTACCCATGGGAACCAGATGAAGGCATTGGATCCCCTGGGTCTGGAGTTACAATTGGTTGTGAGCAGCCATGTGGGTGCTGGGAATTGAGCCCAGGTTTTCTGGAAGAGCAGTCGGTGCTCTCAACTGCTGAGCCAGCTTTCCAGACCATCTCTAGCCCATAGACCTAAGGCTGGAAGGACTGTGGAGAAGACTGCACTTGTTCCTCTCTTCTGGAGGTTGGCAGTAATCGCTGGCTTTCATTGATTCGCGGAAGCGCAACCTTGGTCTCTTTCTTCATTCACACATGGCATTTTTTCCGAATGGGTCTGTTTCTCTGTGTCCACATATCTGCATGGTGTGTGCACAGGTAAACTGGCGTGTGTGTCCCTGAGTGCATGTATGCATGTCCATGTGGAGGGAGAAGCGAACCATGTGATTCTGCAGAAACCGTGTGTTGTTAAGATGTGGTCTCTCATTGGAACCTGGGGCTTGCTGATTGGCTAAACCGGATGGTCATTAAACCCCAGGGATCCTTCTGTCTCTACCTCCCCATTGCAGGGATTACAGGGATGTGGTTCTGAGTATCTAACTCGGGTCTTCACGCTTGCCTGGCGAGCACTTTAAAGAATCACACTTCTCCTTTGTCTAAGGATGTCAGTCATCCTGGACTAGGTCCCAGGATGATGATCTCATCTTAAAACCGTATCTAGGATGATCTTATTCCACGTAACGTCACAGTCTTATGTGTTGATGATTAAGACTTCACTGCATTAAAATTTGAGAGGACACAATTCAGTTACCCCAAAACCTTACCAACCTCCCACAAATAGGGGGAGATAACTCCCTCCCCATAGAGTCTTAGAGAGTTACGTAGGTGGCTGAGCCGTGGGGATGTAAATGAAGCACATTGTCTTCTATATCAAAGGTTTAGCCAAACCCTGTCTTTAAAGAACTTCATAAAGACACCACCCACCCAGCAGAAACCCCTCCCTAGTCAGCGGTCTTCCAAGATCAAAGTAAGTACTCAGAGTTCCATCCTGTTCTCAGTCTTTCAGAAGTAGTACTTACGTTAGCCAGAAGCATAAGAATGTGAGGCTGAGTTTTGGCCACTCAGAGTGAGGCGCAGGATCCCTTGGAGCTAGAAATAAAAATCCAGTGGGACCTTGCAGGACTTGCTTGCTTGGTTAAGGCTGGCTGCGCCCCCTTCTGCTGAAGCAAGCCTCTCTGTCTTTCTGCAATACTTTGGATTGTGAGCTCATTTTCTCAAGACCCCAGACCCAATCCTAATATAGTCAAATGCAGAAAAATGACATTACATGATCAGACAGGAAACGGTGGTGTAATTCCACTTTGTCCTTTGGGACACTAAGTCTGGAGTCGCCAAGAAAAGGTCCAATGTATGGCTTGCTGCAAGGAAGTCCTCGGTGAATATGAATGGAAAGGCAATATAAGAGAACCCATCAGCAGAGTGAGAAGGCACCCCCAGAATGGGAGAAAATGTTCACAGACTATAACTGAGAAAAGTTAACGTCCAGGATATGTAAGGAATTCCTGTCAAAGAAGGAGGAACAGAGAGAAGAAGAGACAACAGGTTTTAAAATGGGCAGATGCCAGGTTAGGGGTAGCGCCTGCTGTCTCAGCTACGTGGGAGGCTGAGGCAGGAGGACCACTGGAGTTCAAACCCATCTTGAATAAGAAAACCGTGTCTCAAAACAAACCTGCGCTAAGAACTGGAACAGATATTTACATCTGTTCAAAGACCTGCATCCATAAAAGAGCTACAGAGGATCAATGGTCATATGGTAACACACTCAACATCATTCATTACCACAGAAATGCAAGTGTTGAAAAGTATGGGGAATTTGGAGTCCTTGTACTGATAGTGGGTAAAACGATCCATTCAGTTTGGGGAATAATAAGTTCCTCCAAAAATGAACAATCTAAACACCATTTGACTCTAACAAGTGCACTTTCTGACACGTATCCAAAAAAGGGACCTCAAAGACATATTTGTGTTCCCTCAGTCACAATGACTGAAAGGGAAGCCACCTGAATGCCCACTGAGGCAAATGCATAAAGAAAAAGTGGGGGCTGGAGAGATGGCTCAGCAGTCAAGAGCACTGGCTGCTCTTCCCGAGGACCCAGGTTCAGTTCCCAGCACCCACATGGCAGCTCACAACTGTCTGTAACTCCAGTCCCAGGGGATCCAGTGCTCTTTTGCAGCTTCTGTAAGTACTGATGCCTGGGGTGCACAGATAAAAGCAAAACATTTACACATACAAAAAATAAATAAAAATAAAAATAAATTTTAAGCAAAAGATCTTCACTCTTTCTAGGTGACCATGGGAAGAGAGAGGACCTCAGCTGCCCCCAGCTGCCCTGGTTCTTCTGGTTGCTGCACCCACCCACTAACTGCAGTAGTATGAAACACCTCAAGCCAGAAAAGTTCACCTGCACCCATTCCATCCAGAGCAGGTTGAGGAAGGGAGGGAGGGGGAGCAGGGGGTGGGGGTGGAGGGAGAACAACAAGGAAGAAGAGCAGAGAAGGGGGAGGGGAAAGAGAGGAGAAAGGATGGGGAGGTCGCTGCATTTCAAGCCACTGTCCACGGGGCTGATTTGTTACACAGACAGAGTGACTATACCACCCACTGTGGGCTGGGCTTGCAACATGAGTTAGTAACTAAGAAAATGTCTCACTGACATGGCCACAGGTCAACCCGATCTGGGCAATTATTCAGTTGAGGTTCCCTCTCCCCGTTTGACTAGGTTTATATCAAATTGATAGCTGAAGCTATGATGACATGCAGTGCCCCATTAGAATATATATATATATGTGTGTGTGTGTGTGTGTGTGTGTGTGTGTGTGTATGTATGTATGTATATATATATATATGTATTCTTTTGCATGTTCCTTCCTTCAATCAACAAATATTTATTAAGTATCTGTTATGATTTATATCGGACATGATGCTGAAGGAAGGGATATGATAATAAACAAAGACATTGCCCACAAGAGGCCCACTGAAGAGCCAGATAAAATGCCAACTCATACTCAGTGGGTGAATGCTTAGGTATTTACTTAGAACTGCTTTTTAGACAATCATTATCTTTGAAAGACCATCCGGCTAACCTTTCAGCTAGCAAGCACATGTGAATTACACTGGCATTCTGATGGATTTCACGAACAAGTATTTTGTCTTCAATAAACTAAACTCAAATTAATCAACATTACAAAGTCCTCTGAAATCTTTCATCAAAAGACACATCACTGAGAGTTTCAATGCTATTAGATGTTAAAACGGAATGCTTGTGTGTGTGCGTGAGGGGAGGGGATGGATGTGCACAGTATATTCGGGCATGCACAAGTAGATGAAGGTCGGAAGACAAGCTTGGGTGTCATTCCTCGGGGGCCTTTTGCCTTCTGTCCGAGGCAGGGTCTTTCATTGATCTAGACCTTCACCAAGTAGAATTGGCTGTCTGGCCAGTGAGCTTCCAGAGATCTGCTTGTCTCTGCCTCACTCCTCATTGTCTCTGGAGTGACAAGCAGGCTCACCAGCATGCCAGCGTTTTCTTTAATATTTATTGTGCATCTCTGTGCGCATATATAGACATAAGTGCAGTGCCTGCAGAGGCCAGAAGAGTGTGTCAGATCCCCTGAGCTAGAGTTCCAGGTAGTTGTGAAATGGTCAACGTGGAAGCTGGTCCTCCGAAAGGCCTCAACTGCTAAGCCATCTCTCCAGGCTCTGTGTCTACTTTTTTGTTTGTTTGTTTGTTTGTTTGTTTTTGTTTGTTTTGCTGTTGTTTTGTTTGACAGAGTTTCTCTGTCCTGGAACTCACTCAATAGACCAGGGGGGCCTCGAACTCATGGGGGATCCACCTGTGTCTGCCTCTGCCTCCAGAGTGCTGGAATTAAAGGCATGCACCTCCATCACCCAGCCTCGTGCCCACTTTTTTTGTGGGTTCTGGTGTTCCAACTCAGTTCTTTACATTGTAGGGCAAGAAGTGCTTTAGCAACTGACCTAGTTCTCCAGCCCTAGGGTGCTTTTTTTTTTCTTTCCAGAATGACTTAATTTAGACTTGGCAAATGTTACTCTATTCCTTTGTGTTTACCTTTTGATATTTGTTCCTGAGAAATGAAATCCGTGTCTCCTTTGGATTCGCAGACCAAACACAAGGAGCACATCGGAAATCCATTCGTGATGCCTTGGCAACTCTCAGTGAAGCTTTGGACACTGGAGTGATTTGGAAAGAGTCCCATGACAGTCTGTGTTTCCTCTGCCGGGTGCAGAAAAGCCACAGAAGAAAAATTGAAGGAGGGAAGCGGATAGGTGAGATTGGGTAATAAACACACTTCCCGGCAGGCGAGCTCTCGTGTTCTTTCTGCAAAGAAAGAAAAAAAGCTCTTGTTAGCTGTGGATTCCAAGGTTTTGACATTTAAATAAACACAAGGTAAGCTCGTCGTTGTTCAGGTAGATGATGGCCTGTCTCTGACAATGTTTTATTCTCACGTGAATTAATATCTACTCCGTTGAATCATTTTGTTTTAAAACTTGTTAATTTTCAGAGAGCAAACGTTCATGTGCAGAAATGACTAGAAACACTAGCATTTTAGACATCCTCTGTTCTGGAAAATTTTTAAGGATGTGTGTGCGTGTGCGTGTGCGTGTGCGTGTGTGTGTGTGTGTGTGTGTGTGTGGTGTATGTCCATGGAGGCCAGAAGAATGCATAGGAACCCCTGGAACAGTTAGAGGTACCTGACATGGGCACTAGGAACTGAATTTGGGTCCACTGCAAGAGCAGTAAGCACTTTTAGACATCCACCAATCTCTACAGCCCCTGGAAAAAAAACTTAACAGATAAATCTTAAGTCTTTCTGAATCTATCTTTTTTATAATAGTCAGTTGCATGGTTCTGAAAGATAGCAAAATCTAGACAGCGCTTCTGTGTTTCCAAAGTCTGCTAGAAAGCAAAGTACCACAATCTTGGCCATTGAAAATTGTGGAGGCCCAAAAATGTGAGCCCATTTCCACCTTGACCAAAGGTCAGAGTTGGAACTCACCTCTACTCCTTCAAGGTTACTGTGTTTCTACCTCAAATAAAGGTCCCACCTAGGTTCAGAGCACAGAGTTTTGCTCTCTCAAGGTTACTATCAACAGGTGTGGCTAATATCCAGACTTTTTATTTCAGAAATAGAGAAGTAGATATGTTTCTACCTTAAACAAAAGTCTAAGGATCCAACTAAGGTTCCAGTTCCCTTAAGGAGATAACATTGGATTCTACCCAGGGAGTGGTTTGCCTACCGAAGGTTTTGGTCTAGGGTGTAAGCATGACTTGTTCTGTCCTAGCAACAGAATGTTTAACTATGGATGTAGCTTGCAACCTTCAACTGGTCTGTTCATTTCTTTGTATCATGTTAATGCAGTTTTTTATCTTACTCCTACATCTTAGGGTCAGGGTATTTTAAGCAATTGGAAATTAAATGTGGGTGATTTCAGTATTCACTGGAACTCCCTCCAGGTACTATTCTATGTTTTCCTGTCTTATTATTTTTGCATCTTCATACTTTTTACTTACATTCCTAATCCCCACATCCCTACCCTATCAAGTGGTATTTTTGTTGAAGCTGGTCCCCAACAAAAAACAAGAAAAACTTTCTCCTGGTTTGGGAGGCCAGAAGTTCAGTGTTAATGTCAATAGTCAGAAATCCTGAAGTCTACAGGCTTTGCAAAATCTAGAAGTTTTCTTCTTGATTCTCTTCTAACTTCCAGTAGTTGCCTGCATGCCTTGGCTTATGGCCCATCACTGTCTCTGTAGTCACAGTGCTTTCTTCTCTGTATCCCTGCCTTCTTCTCTCCTAGCTCTGTCAAAGTTCCCTTTGACTCTTTGTGTCAGTCAGGATTTTTCAGAAAAAAAAAAAAACAGAACTGATAGAATGTCATTGATAAAATGGCTATACATACCTACACATATATATACATACATACATATGAACTGATAGAATGTATATATGTATATATACATATATAGACAGAACTGACAGAATGGCTCTATATATGTATGTACATCACATACACATACATATAGAATGTAGGAGGAGCTCACAAACTGTGGTCCAGCTAGTCCAACAATGTTTACTATTGGGTCCAAGAATCCAGCAGTTGTTCAGTCCACAAGCAGAATGTCTCAGATACTCTTCAGCATATGTCAGAATCCCAGAAAAGTAGGCTCTAATGCCAGTGAGGGAATATACTTGTCAGTAAAAGTAGGAGCAACAGGCAAACAGAACAAGCTTCCCTCTTTCATGTCCTTTATATTGGCTGCCACCAAAGGGTATGTCCGGATTTAAGATGGATCTTCCCACCCCAGAAGGTCCAGATTTAGGATGTTTTTTCCTTTAATTTTTTTTTTTTTTTTTTTTTTTTGGTTTTTTGAGACAGGGTTTCTCTGTGGTTTTGGAGCCTGTCCTGGAACTAGCTCTTGTAGACCAGGCTGGTCTCGAACTCACAGAGATCCGCCTGCCTCTGCCTCCCGAGTGCTGGGATTAAAGGCATCCACCACCACCGCCCAGCCCCTTAATTTTTTTCAATCAGGAAAGATCCCTCATAGGTATACCCAGTGGCTTAAATTTTTGGTTCATTTCAGATGTAGTCAACTTGACAAATAAGAATAGCCATCACAGCCTCTTTCTTATCTGGACATTTGTGATTAAATATCATGCCCACGTGTGTGATTCAAGATATCTCATATTAAAGTTGCTAATCACATTTGTAAGCACCCTGTATCCTTATAAGGTAGCATTTGCAGAATCTAACGATTAGCATTTGTTGTCTATTATGTGTCCTACTGGAAAGTCTTTAGAACAGCTGGTTCTCAAATTTCCTAATGCTGTGACCCTTTTATAGATTTCCTCATGTTGTAGTAACCCCAGCCATAAAATTATTTTCATTGCTACTTCATAACAGTACTTTTGCTACTGTAAATGAATCATAATGCAAACATCTATGTTTTCTGATGGTCTTAGGTAACCCTTGTAAAAGGGTCATTGGACCCACAAAAGGGTCGAGACCCACAGATTGAGAACTATTGTTTAGAATGTTTTGTTCCCAGCCATGGGTGAGCAGTTTGTCTCTGTCACGTACTTTGACACACTTTCTCACCAGTGAACTGTTTAAATACAGGTCTTTGGGGCTTGAGGGGTGGCTCAGCTGTTAAGAGCTCAATGAAAGAGCTAACTCAACTGGCTGCTCTTCCAGAAAACCTGGATTCAGTTCTTGGCACCCACGTGGTGACTGGCAACCATCTGGAACACCAGGCCTAGGGGACCTGACACCCTCTTGTGGCCTTGCTGGGTACCAGTCAAGCACATGGTACACATACATACATGAAGGCAAAACATCCATATACATAAGATAAAATACAAATTTCAAAATTTTTAATCCAATCCTGTGTTCCAGATTAAAAACTTTGAAATGTGGAGGGGCCAAGCTAATCAGCACCCTGATGTGAGCTCCCCGCAGTCTGAAGTTCCAGTTCCAGGGGATCCCAACATCCTGACATGGACACACGTACAGGCGAAACATCAATGTATACAAAATAAAAGTAAATAAATAAATAAGCTTACATGCACCCTTTGCCTAGGGTTGGGCTTATCTGTGATTTAACCACATCCTAGTTCATGGCGTAATTGAGAATTATCATTTGACAGTGATGATCGGTTAAGGAGCAGGTAGCCCAGCTTCCAGTGGTTCACACACCACCAGCTGATTTCAGACGTGAAGTAACTGACACGGCCAATCCCACCTTCCTGTGGCGGCTTCACCTTCTCTCTGAAACGTAGGTTAGGGTTTCTAGGTGACACAGAGCACCAGGAGACAAGCTGCCCTTTCTAAAGTGATTTCTTTCAGTTCAGCACCTTAGCCAGACTTACAAGGACGCCACACTAGTGACTGATATTAAAGACATTTTTAATTAATGAAGTAATTCCCTAAGCATTTGATTGCTAGTGATTTGTAACATGATTTAATAAATTAAATGCTCACGTCCTAGCCCTCTACAGCTAAAACTATTTCTCTAAAAAGTTACATCTTATGTCCAACTGTGAAGAAATTTCAAAACAGAGTTGTTAATAACTTTTTACTTGGAGGAACTAAATTGTATTTGAATAAATTTTATTATGTGTAATACACTTATAATAAAAATTATAACGAGTTTGTAACTATAGTATAATATTGCCTTCAACAGCAATGTCAGCAGAGGAAGACAGAAGTGCATCCACTGATGGAACACTTGCATTTACAGCTTTCTCAATATCACTAAAACACACAAAAACCATATTTCCTGCCACCTTTCCATCTTGCTCCCTGGCACTTTGATCTTGTGAAATTTTCAGCTTCTTGAATTTATATTGCTATGACACGACCTGGAAAGGAGAGAGAGAAATCTTTCACTGTCAATATTGCCATCTTCTGATTCAATAAGCAACCAGCCAGGCTTTCTAGAATCGAAGATTTGGATAGCAGGGTTTTTTTTTTTTAATGAGATTTTTAAATTTCAATTTTAAATACTTCTATTGAAAAAGGAATGGAGGACATGGCCTTTTTGGTATAATTTTAAGAAATAAATGTTTCTCCCTAACCACTATGTCATCTTGCGGGCTATATCCTCATCTCCATAAACAAGGGTTTGTGAACTTAACTGTAATATTAATATTCCTGGAGTCAGATGTCTGCCTGCCCAATCTGAGAGATGCCAGTGCATCCCAGAATTGCTTCCGTACCAAGTCGGCACCTTCTCTGAGGACGTATGCAGAACACTAAACTGAGTTAGGGAAACACATGACATAAGAGGGTAAATCCACAACAATTATTTTCTCCTTTTCAAAGACAAGTGAACCGGAACACTAAAGGATTGCATTTTCCTCCCTTAACTTTTACTGTAAGAACAAACCACACATATTTGTATAAGATCCTTCACAAAAGATGCTCTCAAAAAAGAAAGAAAATAACACCAAGCGGTGGTGGTACAATCAGTGGTGACACATTCCTTAAATCCCAGCACTCAGGAGGCAGAGGCAGACAGAGCTCTCTGAGTTCAAGGCCAGCCTGATTTACAGAGAGAGTTCCAGGACAGTCAGGGATACACAGAGAAACCTTGTTCAAACAATGAAAGAAAATAAGTAAATATTAGTATCTCTGTCCCCCAATCAAGAAACAGGCTGCTACCAAGGCCTCCAGAACATTCTACCTACCCCTGTACCGAAGCTTATTTTGGAAGCATACAAATGTATAGCATTACACTATGCACTCTTCCATGACTTCATTCTTTCCTTACTATGTTTTAGCCATGTTAGTTTTACACAACTGTAGCTAATTTGTTGGTCT